TGGAAATTTATCGCTCTGGCGAGAATCGAGGCGTCATTTCCGGCCGAGCGAAACAAAGAGAGCGCCGCGCTGCGCGCCCGCGCCGTGCCGGGCCCGATCTCTCTCGCTTCTCCCGCGCTCGAAGAATAATTGGCGCCCACTTTTATCGCCTTTCTCTTTAACCCCCTCCCCCACCCCGGCCACTCCCGGCTCAGATAAAAGTATCGCGAAACTCGCGAATGTAAATCGTCAGCTGAAAGTACGTGACGTATCGGCGTATCTATCTTGCGCCGCCGCGGCCCCGCCGTCGAAGAAAAACGCGCGCTAACGGAAGAAACAAGCGCGGTCGTTCTCTTATTTACAAACTTCCATCTCCCGACCGATACATTCGATTTAACTTCCAACGACGATAAGCAGAGAGAAAGAGAGAGAGAGAGAGAGAGAGAGAGAGAGAGAGAGAGAGAGAGAGAGAGAGAGAGAGACACGCAGCTTAACTCTTCCATAGCGCGTGCATATGTGTATAATGGGATATATGAGATCTCGTTCGCCTCTATATAGCAGAAAGCACGTTCGTTCTTCGATAAAAAGCAAAGGGCTTCAGTCACTTCGATGTGAAGCCTGCAGTCGCGGCTGAAAGGACGCGCTTGCACTTTGACGAAGCCGGGGGAGCAATAACGGAAATACAAATATATACTCTTTTCTAGAAAATTTACGTTGCTGTCGAACGGGGAAAAAAGGATGCGGCGGTAACGTCGCTAATTGAGTGTTAATATGTGAAACGTATTTTACTTTCACGAGTACAATCGCGCGGAGCCCATTTCTCCCCTCTCCCCCCTCCCCCGTACCATTACGTCATTCTCGTTGCCGCATGATGATGCAAAACGAATGGAACTCCCGCCGCACGCGGGAGAGCACGAACGAGGCGAACTAAGCACGCGATAACGGGGCGAAATTTCCGATCCGTTTCCCTCGTCCTCGAGATCGATCGTTAGGGGTGGTCGTTTCGTTCCCTGAAAAGGGCGTCTACACAGGGACACGGAGGGAGGGGGGGCGGTGCAAAGGGGTGCCGGAAAGCAAAATCGAGGGAGGCAGCACTCGACCGATTAATTAAAAACTTGGTACTGCCGTGTCAAGAGGCACGCTTCGCCAGGGAAACGATGCGGATGTGACAGGATAATGCCGCGGTGACTAAGCGGTACCGGTTTGCCCGCGAGGCTTTTCGGGTCAAAACTGACGTCATAATAAGACAATGTTAAAGGGAAGATGGTCCGTCGCGATGGACACGGCGGATATCGCCGATTAACTCTTTCTCGTATTGCAGTCTCCTGAGATTGCAAACAAGAGGTAAAAAAAAAGAGAACTCCCGCTTTATTATTGAACTCCAATTTCAAACTTCAATTTTAAATGACTCCAAAATCCTTAACGATCCACTGGGGAGGGCACTAAATGAATCCTTGGTTTTCATTTTCAGTTTCCGGATTTTTTTCCGCGAATTACATGGAATATTTGAATTGACGAAACATTCTTTTAAATTTTTCTATAAATGGAAATTGCTTCGAAAAAGTGATTTCGGTTAGTTGCACAGAGGCATAAAGCGACATGCAGTTTTTTTAAATTTATTTTAGATCAGAAAGCAATTTGGCAAACAAAATCGTTAACATTTTTTACATAAAAACGCAGGTTTATGTGATGTAAAAGGTTCGAACTAGTATGCAAATATCAGTAGGGTCCAGGATGGGATGCCCCAATTTTATTTCTGTCCGTTGCGATTTCGACTCGCGATATCGCGTAGATTTAGCAATGCTTGTTAAAGACGAGAGAGAGAGAGAGAGAGAGAAGTTGTGAACCTGGTCCCGCCATTCGTGGATGGTGCGCAGGTAATTGTCGCGATTAATTATTCTGCGATTTTCTTTATTCCGAAAGCGGATCGGATAGCTAGTTCGGTTCAGGTTAGCGGAAGTCGGAAAGCTGCGCTGGGTAATTTAGTGCTTGCGGTTGTTATCGATTATCGAGTGCGCGACTCGTTGCCAATAAGTATTTGCCGCCGCAGGACATAAATATATCGCTCGCAACGAAAAGCTGTGATTTGAGACACACAGCGAAATATCGGTCGGATAAATATTGCGATATCACATTTATCATGATGCCTGACGTAAAAGAATACCTTTTCTCTTGAGTTTTCTCAACGCGTTAAAAAATAAAAAAGTATTATAGAAAATTGATCTGGTTTTCATTCATAAGAGATTATATTCTATCTAGCGTGTGCAAAAATATATATTTTTTTTATGTTAATATACACTGTTAAATCTATAGTGTCAAATTTAACCTTATTTAAGTTGCCACTGCTCTTACTTAATAAATAGTTATTTTTAATTTAAACAATATAATAATTTTTAAATAAAAAATGGAATTTAATCAAAATGTGGGTTAAATTTGAACTGTATTAATTATTTAACTCCATTGTTTTAGTTAAATATAACTATTTATTAAGTACACGGAAAGAACGATTTTGCTGGAAGGTCAAAATTAGATCTGAAAATAATTTTGTTGCACAGAAATCAAAATAATTTTGTGGGAAAGTCAAACTGATTTGCTGAAATATCAAAATGTTTAACAGCAATGCTTATCATTTTTGAGTTTTCAACAAAATTATTTTAATTTCCGTGCAACAAAATTATTTTTAAATCCAATTTTGACCTTCCAGCAAAATCGTTTTTTCCGCGTGGGAGCAGTGTGTGTGGCGAGTTAACTAAGGTTAAATTTGACACTATAGATTTAACAGTATTATTCTGTTTTTATGTTATTTTATATCAAATACATATACATATGCATAACAATAAGACATATAATAAAAATAAAATAAAAACAAAAGAATACGTACTTATATGTATATGGGTAAGCATATATGAACCTGCATACGTTTTAATAATACGATGAAAAATATTTTCAAGTTACGAACACACACAAGGCACAAATGTTACGCTCAGTTGTTGGTATAGTTACATCCTTAGAGACAACTAGAAACCCTATGAAACTTCATTGTTACGCGATTCTCAAAGCAGATTAGCACATTGAGATAAGGAAGGATATGTTTCCTCATACATACATATGTATATCTCTAATTTGCGATTTGCGACATGTTAGAACGATAACATATCGCAACGTTAAAGCAGACCAGTCTCGTTGATACGAAATATTATGCAAAATGTTACATTAAGAAACATATTCCTTTTTTATTTGCTTTTACGATTTGTGTGAAAATAACAACTTTCATCATTATTATTATTAGGATAAATTGCCAGAATTAATATTCTAAATTGTAGAACAGGTCTATAAACTTGAACACGCTTTATTATCGAAAAAAGATCCGTGATACTCTGACAAGCGACAAAGCTTTGCAGCATAAATAACGATCAGTACAGTTCGTGACTCGCCCTTCCGATTGAACACAAAGGAATCGAGATAGACCAAAGGGACTGACTCCCAACCTCTCCTCGATAACCCGCCCTTAACGTACCCGTCCTTTTAGGCAAGTCCTTCGTGTCGGGAATCGCCTAACGAGTCGGAAAAATCAAGTCGGCCTTCGCCGAGACCGTATACGTCGCTTTTGCGTCGCCGTAAAATCGTGTCTAATTAACCGTGAAAATAACGAGATTTTTGCGATATCGTCGCGCGCAAGCTGCCATTAAGATCGATTTTGCGAAATTCGGGAACGCAAAATGGAGCGGTAACGTAAAAACAAGAGCGAAATCCTATTCTTGAAGTAAGAACGGAAATGAGACTGTGAAGTTGATCCCACAGTAAATGATTAATTCCGGTCTTCCATTTATATACACGTCTCTCTCTCTCTCTCTCTCTCTCTCTCTCTCTCTCTCTCTCTCTCTCTCTCTCTCTCTCTCTCTATCTCTCTCTCTGCCAGCTTTTAAGTATTATCGTATTTTTATAATTAAGTTGCAAACTAAATGAAATAAAACAGTATCGTTGTTAAAGCGGATCTCCCTGGAACTTAATTAGAAAGTGAGGTTCCTGTTACTTTTGTAACAGAATCTTGCTTTCTAATTAAGAGCAAGTAAATGTAAATTTTTCCGACTCCCTTTACCCGAACTTTTCCAACTCTTTCGACGTTAAATAGCAATTAAACCCTTCGCTGTATTTTCCCCGGACAGGATAATCGATATACTGTTTTTTTTTCTTTCTCCATTTTCGCGAGCGCCGTATTTCATGTGCTTTCAATTAACCCGAGGCACATATTGTAATGTAGTTAAAATATAAAAAAGAAGTGAAGTCGATCGTTAGCCTGCCGAGTTTTGAAGGCTCGGTATCGAGATAAAACGATAATGCAGCTTATCGCAGGCTCGAGGGGAGAGTGGCGCCCTTGGCTCGAGGGTGCGTCGTCAGATTTGTCTCGTTAAAGTTAGCATTGTGTCTGCCTACGGTCGATTTACGCTCTCTCTCTCTCTCTCTCTCTCTCTCTCTCTCTCTCTCTCTCACTCGTTATAGTTATTCGCCATCTTCCGTTGCTTTCTTGGGCCTTCCAGAGAGACTCCTGGCTGCCTTCTCCTTTCCTACGACCTAACGAGCTTCTATTAAGACCACAATGCGTATCCTTGTTTGCGTGCGACGCAAACGTGCGTGATTGACGGTATTTACCGTGGCTCATATATATTATGTGAATTTAAAGAGAAAAATTTATTTGAGAAGAGAAATAAATTTTAACAATAGATATATATGCATATATAAGAATTTTTAATAATATATCGACATAATATAGATACAATAATATAAATCACTCTGCAGGAATGTAAGATAAGATTGATATGATATTAGAGTAGATAATACGCTTCGGAGATACATCAGAATTTCTCGTATAAAAATATTACAAGAGAAATAACATTACGTTTTTGCGTTACTTCTGGCAGAAACTGTGTAACTTCTTTAAATTAGCTACAACTTTGGAAAAAACGATTAACCTTAAGTCCCATTAAATTTGGAACCGCCATTATCATATAACATTTTCAACTATGTCTCAGGGTATATAAGAGATATAATATGATTATGTGAACTCCCTGAATAGACTCGGACATCCGTGGCTCCTTTCAGAACTTTTTTCCCTCCACCCCCTCGTCCCTCCCTCTCTCCCTCCAACCCCTCCAAGGTTTAAAATATACCGTACTTTCTCACTAACAAGAAAGTATCATTAGCAGGGATCGATAACCTTCGTCGAGCTTCTTGTCCCAACTTCTAAAGTTACGGCATTTAAAATTCCGTTTAAGACTCAACTTCAAAGTTTCTTCCTAGGCCGTAGAAATTACGAGCATATCGGTACTTTACTTCCGTAGATAGGATCATTAATTTACAGCAACTCTTTTTATCTACAATGCCATTTGCGTTTATTGGTATTTATGCATATTCACGCGTATATATGTAACTTGCGATATTAACAATAGCAGTAATAATAATAATAGTAATAATATCGTTGCGCTTATACGTGCTTGTAATTTTATCACATTCATATAAAATTCCAGCGGTCCGTGTCCGAATATTGCGACAAAAAGTATCGTTCGAGGTGCACGATAAATGTTCATACGTTTTTATACGTTTATCGTGCTGCCGTTTTTCATTTCTCTCCAAATGTCGCGCATTAAATTAACTCCTTTATCGTAAATATAAAAACATAATTGTAAATCGCGAATTATACGACAGCGTTTTATTAATGCTTCAAATGAAGCGAGCGTGATATTTCATGTCATTAATAATACTGCAAAATTTATTCTTGCTCTGTCATATCACAAATTTTCTCTACCCGCAATATAAATATTGTATCATCTCGCGTATATTATGCTATTAAAAACAATTATTTATTCAGGAAATCAAGTATGAATTTAAGAACGTTTATTATGTATAATTATTATCTTCAAAATCAAAGTCAAAGAACTAAAAATTAAAAAATAATTTTAATAAGTGATATCCTGGAATATCTGTTGATTTTAAATCTTATAAATTTTTGTAATATACTTTCTAAATTAATTTTAAATTTTTTGGCTTGTGCTGATTCTGAGATGAAAATGTGATATTTTTACGATATCTTGCGTCTGCTTTTTGTCGCAGCGAGCTCTCCGGAACCACGTACCTGTCCGTACTTGGGCAAATTCGCGGTGACAGACGTGAATCGGAATCAACGGAACACGCGCGAAAGCCGCAGGAGCCAGCACCAGCAGCAGGAGTCGTCCCTGCCCATCCGGCACGACGGCGAAAAGGTGCGGCACGCACAGGAGAGAAACGAGGACCGGCGGGGCCGTAAGCTGGATTACGAGGTCGAGAAGAGGCGGGCGAACAACGAGTATCTGGTCCACGAGAGGATGGGTCGGCGGGCGCGTTCGAATCGCGGCGGCAATCGGAGCCGCAAGGACTACAGCCTGGAGGAGGTCTCCCCGCCGAGGAGATCCTCGGAGCTGGAGGAGGGTTTACGGGATCTACGGGACGCGTTGCGAGCGAAATTCAGACGAGCGGGCGACTTCGAGCAACGCATGGCCGACAGCTCGCGCGCCAAGACGAGGCGGTCGCGCGCCGTCGAGCGCCTCGAGAGAGACGCGAGATACACGACGGAGCGCGGAAGGGCTGGCAGAAACGAGGGCGAGACGACGGTCGAGGACGAGGTGAATTCGAGAGATAAGGCGAACAGGTCGAGAAGGCACCCGAAAATAGAGGACTTCCATCCGTACGACGTCGACGCGATCGGACGGTTTTGGGCCGCCGATCCGGACGACAGCTGGACCACCAGCACGCTGCAGGTGCAAGGCGATTATTTCGGGGATTATCTGGAGGTCGATGGCCCACCGCGGAAGAGATCCGCGTCGGGGAATCCGGCCGACAAGGGCGTGACCTACAAGGATCTCTTGAGGATGAAGAGGGAGCTCGAGGAGCGCGAGAGGGACGAGGACTTCCCGGAGAGGAGGGAGAAGAGGAACAACGAGGATGATTCGAGGTGCAGCTCCGAGGTGACGACCTTAACCGTGGGTTGCTCCACGGCGGACAGGATGGAGTTTCAAAGTGACTGCGTCGACGACGACGCTATCACCGGTAATTATCTGCCTTTTCTTTCTCTTTACCGTCACACCGAGAGCCTTGTGCCGCGCTGACCTCTTGAATACGAGCACACTACCGCGAATGACGAAGGAGAATTATTTCGTTTTTCAAGACATCTTGAGCGTAGAATTCGACACGCGGCTCAGAAAAAGTGTCTTTTTAATACCAGGAAAATTATTAAAGATAGATAAGCATTTATTCTAATCTCCAAGAAAGTTCTTCTTTCTGTAGAAGAGAAGATTTTTTATTTGATTAAATATCAGGAACGACCGTGGAATTTTTTATTTGAATTCATTGTGCATTTTTGCTAAGAAAATTGTGTATCTTATGGCTAAAGAACATCGATTTCGATCAAAGAATTCGTGAGCGATAAATTTGGATAAGCATTTATTCTAATCTTCAAGAATTTTTCCTGTAGAAAAAGATTTTTTATTTGAATTAATTGTGCATTTTTGCTAAGAAAATTGCGTATCTTATGGCTAAAGAACATCGATTTCGATCAAAGAATTCGTGAGCAATAAATATGGAGTAATTTACAAAAGTAGATATAAAAGATAGATATTTCTAGAAAAAAAAATTTCTTTATAATGAAACTTTTTCGTGATCTCCCTCATTAATGTTAATTCAAACCACGTGCATGACTAAACGATATATTCACCTTTTTCTTAGCTTTTTTCATATCAGAAAAAAAAAAGATTAATATCTATGCAGAAAAATTGCGTCCTGAGAAATAAATGAAATGAAAGTCATGAAATAATCGCAAAATATCTTCTCAGGGGATTTGCATTGATATTATAAAACAGTGTTAGCAATCAAGCTCACCAACGGCGCGACACTTATCGCGCTCACGGAAATATTACCCCCGCGACAGTATGACGCATTCGAGTCTTTCAGCGTTAAAGCGACAATATTAACGCGCGCGCTTCTTATCGACCACCCAAAACTTGCGCCCCCGCGCGTTTATCAATCCTGGCATAACGTCGGTAACTTCATTACGACGGTCGAGAGACGGGCGATACTCGAAACGCGCGCGCTCCCCTGCCGCGCGATATTCCGCGCATCAAGATCGAAATGCCTGAATGTTTGAAAGAACCGCGAGGCACGTCCGTTCCTCGCCTCTTCCCTGCATCCTTCCCGTCCGCGTAGACTGGCGCTTCTCAGTCCCGGATGGATATTCTCTCGACCCTCGACACCGAAGTTTATTTCGAGGAGGGGAAGGGGGGAAATAATGGCACTCGAAGGGTAACGGCCGTCGAGACGCCAACCCTCCCTCCTCCTCCTCCTTCTCCTCCTCCTCTCTCGTTCCCTCATCCGACCGTTATTATCCCGAAACTTTCTCCACCGAGCACAACCCTCCCGTTGTTTCGCGAAGACCTCTGGCAAGCCCCGTGTTCTCTCTTTGCCTTCCAGCCTACTCCTGCCACGGTAGATGGTTCGACGCCGAGGGCACGCAGTTCGTGATCGCCACCCCGTTGGCGCGCAGAACAGCGTGGTCGAACAGCGAGAACAACAGGGCGCAGCCCTACAGGAACAGCCGTAGACTGTGCTTCATGTACAAAGAGAGCGGCGGAGTTGTCAGTTTGACTGCCAGCCGCATAGCGTGTCAGAGGGGCCCACCGCCCCCGCCGATGTTGGCCTTCAACGCTACCAGCACCGGTAAGTGGCAACCTACGTCAACCCTTTCGCTTTCCGTCGCTGCGCCATCCTCCCCGGATTAGCATTAATTCGATAACACTAGATACGAGTACACGCAACCCCGTACTCTGGATATACATTATGTTAGAGCCATACGCGGTATGATTTTAATTTTGCCAATATCTCTCGTTAAATATCGTTAGTGAAATATTAAAAATATCGAAATTTAATTTCAAAAGTGATGCAGAATTTATTTAAAAAGATGCCATCTGAGTCTCTGCACCTTTTGTATTAATGTTGGAAAATTGATTAGAAAATGGAATTATTAATTAATAATTAAATAATATAAATTATTATATTAATTATTATAATAATAAATAACTAATTTATTTTTAAAATTATATTATTAATCACACATTTAATAAGCTTTTTATCTCATTGTTCTCTCATGCATCAAACACAAAATGTAACAATTTTATTCGCAGTTTATCGTCATATATTATTCGCTTTAAATCTGCAAAGATTTTTCCATTATTCAATTTGCCATACGCATAAGTTAATTTTTTTTAACATGCGGATTGTGAAAGGAAGAGAAATTATACATAAAACAAGCATTTCTCTTGATGTCCATTAAACAATAAGTGTAAATTTTATATCAAAATATCAGCACTTTCTTTCGACATCGCGGAGGCTTCGTGAATTCATCGCGGCCGATCGGAAAAACGCGACGAGACGCTCCGTCCTTTCGCAAAACGTTCAATATACTGCAATAACTTCCTCGTGACGTGAAGACTGCGCCATCCAATCGAAATCGCGGAGTCAACGATTGTCATCCATTGCGCCGCTCGAAATCTCGTCGCGGAGGGTGCGTGACAGCCACGCATAATCTAGCGCGACATTCGCGTAGCTCTCTGTGACAAATAGACTGCGACAGCGCGTTGATAAACGCTGAATTATGCGTCACCAGACCTAAGGCTATCTCGGAGGCGCGAAATAACCGTTAAATATCTGGAACGCGGTATATTATCCTGGCATTAATTACGGTATTCGTTTTACTGGCAGCCTCGATGATCCAATCGGATGTTATCATGCTACATAGAACATATTCATTTCGTAGGATTTTAAACCACACAACATTACAAAACTTACACTATATTTACACTATATTTATCATATCTAGAGAAAAAATCAATAGAACGTAATTTATATAGAAAAATCGGTATTCATAATCCGTTCTTATTTTAAAATTTCCTTATGTAGTGTCTTAAAATGCTAATACGACTTTGCGATTGGCTTGTGGCATCTTAAAACTGTATTTAAGACCATCTTAAGAACCGACTGTAAATATCAACTTAAGATAATTAATTTTGATATCTTGTACACTGTTAAATCTATAGTGTCAAATTTAACCCTATTTGAGTCGCCACTGCTCTTATTAATATAATATATATCGATACTTTTAACTAAAACAGAGGAGTTAAATAATTTAAAGTAATTCAAATTTAATTCAAATTTTTAAAAAAACAATGGAATTGTTTATGGAATCTTATTAATATAATATATATCGATACTTTTATTAAAAGAAATTTATTAAAAGAAATTATTAGAAGAAATTTTTATTAAAAGTATCGATATATATTATATTAATAAGATTTCATAAACAATTCCATTATTTTTTAAAAAATTTGAATTAAATTTAAACTGCTTTAAATTATTTAACTCCTCTGTTTTAGTTTTTTTAAGCAGTTTTTAAAGCAGTTCAAATTATTTAACTCCACTTTTAGTTAAAAGTATCGATATATATTATATTAATAAGATTCCATAAACAATTCCATTGTTTTTTAAAAATAACTATATGGTTTTAATTAAAAATAATTATTTATTAAATAGGAGCAGTGGCGACTCAAATAGAATTCAATTTGATTGGCACTAGAGATTCCACAGTATACAATGTTAGAGTTGAATTTTGTATTTTTCTGATTCTATATAATTTGCAATATAACTACGCAATATATAATTTTATATAAGTACGTATATTTTCGAAGAAAATATTTAGTACGTACTTGTAAAAACACTTCGTGTATACATATGAAAGAGGGATGTTGAGATTGATTAATCATAAGTAAATGTTGCTTATTGTTAGCTAAGAAGCTAAACGTCGCGTCGCTTCTATCTTGCATGTAAGTGCACGCGCATGAAAATATTCTAAAATGTTAAAAATTGGTTACCTCTACCGTTACAGGCCAGTGCATGGAAGCGAACGGCGGACAGATCAGCCGATCGACGTACCTGACGATCGTCCTGCTGACGGCGGTCGCCGCGATATTCAGGTGATTCTAATCGAAAGCGCGACAATTATTCGAAATCAATTAAGGGATCGGGACTCAAACGCGGTGTCGGACGCTCAGTGAGATCGTTATAAGAAATATTTCACGACGCAGTGATCGGCCGTGTGTGGCTCGATCGATCGAGCGGTGCGCGTATGCAAGAGCAGGCAGACGAGTGCAGCGATCTTAGACCGTGAATGAGGAAGAAAAAACGCGGAGAAAAGTGGAGCCCATCGACCGGTTTGGACAATCGTGCTCGTGGCTCCTCGTTAGTTTCTTCAAACTGTCGGGAGAAATTCGCGTTCGCGCGATCGTCGTTCCGAGGCCGAAGAGAGAGAAAGAAAGAGAGACAGCCGCGTCGTCGATGAAGCGGATAAGGAGTAAGCGAATTGACGGACGACAGGATCGCACGAGGGATCGTCTCGCGAAGAACCGATGGAAGATCCGGAAAAAAAGATCTCTTGTTTTCGGAAGAGTCGGACGTCGAACGGAAGAATCGTCGGCGGCGTGACGCGCGATCGCAAGCGATCGGGAGAGCAGCTTCGAGCGTGAGTTTTCCCTGGCCAGTATAGATTTTTTTACCGGACGTAGCGCGTAGGCACTAAAGGTTGAAGTCGGAAAGCGCGGAGCTGGACGAAGTTGTTAGGCGATTTTTATGGTTAGCCCATATCACGATCGGTATCGCGACCGAGCGACGCGGACCTCGATTCGGTGCAGGGACGAGGAGCCCTCAGGCGATTCGTCCTCGTAGGATCGACCGTCCCGGAGTCCTCTCGTTCTCTAGAACGCCGTTGAGACGCGCGATCGTTACTTTTTAGGACGAACGGAAAAGGGATGACTGCGCGATGAAGGAGACCGTATCCTCGATGAGTGCAAAAGAAAAGAAAAAATGGAAAGAGAGATGAAGAAGCATTTACTCGGTAAATATTCTCTTCGTCGGGCGCGCGCGCGCGCGCGCACGCTCATTTCTTTGCTCATTCTCGGGCATGTACCCTCAATAAGTACCGAGTTAATCGGGCGCGATACGCGTAATAATTATATCGATTAATTAAACAAGTAATATATACGCTGTCGTTTCTTCGACGGATCGAGGCGGGATTTCCGAGGCTCGTCCTGACGTGACGCCGCGACGGATGAAGAGGGGGGGAAAAAAAATGGGATCGCGGGTGAGTCGCGCGCTCGTCCTCCGCGGGAGGACGAGCTTGTAGCCGGGCGCGGTAAGAGCGATGATTCGGCTGAGCGACAAAGCGAGAGTGAGAGGACAGTGAGCCTTAATTAGCACCGGTGGAGTCCTCTAGCCGATAAGAACAAACGTGTAAAATATTATTTCACCTCGAATCGAGTCGAGAATTAAGGGAGGTCAAGAGATTAGGTATTAAACGAGGCTGGGGGCTCCGTTCTGGATGTCATCACGGTACAGCAGGAGGGGGGGTCTTTCTCTTCCTCGGGGCTCACACGGCTCACCACATTTTTCTTTATTCATGCGTCGAGCGAGGGGACCGCCGAGGAAATCGCACGACACGGCGCGTCCCTCTGCCGCGGGAGGCAGACGGCGGGATGATCCTTTGATCTATATTTTCGCTTCATTAGCATCTCGTTAGACGGCGACGTTGGCAAATGCAACGCCCCGGCTGATCCTCTAAGTTTTTATTCGTCGAGGATAAAGATCGCGTGCGATGTCACCGTCGAGTCGCGAGGAGGGGGAGGGAGAGGGGGAAGGGAGGAACTGCCTTTTAACGTTAAACGTGTGTGCGGTGGCGACGCCGAGGTCTTTGTCTCCTGGTGAGCAATCGATTAGCTTAATTAATACGGCGAGATGCGCGCGGACCGGCGTCTCTTCGGCGGCTGACCCCCCGCTCGGCGCTCGACAACGTTAATATTAAGCAATAAGCAATAAAAGAAGACACGAGAAACATGTATACAGAGACGTACACACACACACACCCACACATACGCACACGCAGACACAACGGACACTTACGCGACAGCAGTACACGCTCGAGAGAACGGTGATAACGAGGAGGGAATGTTGCGCTTAGTGGAATCGAGCGTGAAGGCGTTAAACTTCGAAGAAAGAAAACGCCAATCGGTTCCGATTTTCGCGATTAATGAACGACAGAGGTATAGGCCGGACGCGACGGTGTAGGACGCTACGATATTATTGTAACTAATACAGAGTCTATATTATATATATTATTGTACAACCATCTTTGTAATAATTAAGCTGTAATCGAGTGACGAGAGTTGTAGAAGGAAGAGACAAACAAAGAGGAAGTTAGGAACAACAGAGACAGAGTGAGTGAGTGAGTGAGAATTGAGCGCGTGTGTGTGTGTGTGCGAAAATGAAAGAAAATTGGAATGAGAGAGTGTGAGAAAGACGTGGGGAGAGGGAAGGAGGGGAGAGGGGGGAGGGGGATTGGGACGTGTGAGAAAGAGTGGAACCGTAGGAGAAAGCCAATCGCTATTTTAGCACTTTTTCAATTCGCGTCGTACGTAATTTCTACGCCATTAAGATTTTTCCGTCGGATTTTGAGTTTAATCAATCAATCAGTGAGACGCCGTCGGGCGAGATCGATTCTTGAGAGGAAGGCGCGGAGACTCAACGCGGATGCGACGAAAGCTCCCAACATCTCTCGAGCCCCGTCACACTCGCCTTATTCGTTCCGATCCGCGTCCAATTACTTTGTTACCGGCTCTCTCGTTCGATCTCGCGCGAAATTGCTCGCGACGCCGTGCCTGACCGACGTAGAATCCGCGAAGGATTTCGTTCGATCCGCGCGTAATTTGCGTAATTTACCCTCCCCCCCCTCCGCTCCCCCCCCCCCCTTCGCCTCGGCCAGGGAGCCTCGTCGGGATCCGTTTGAGCGTCGCGTGTTATTTCACGCCTATACTCAAGGATCATCTCGGACAACGGCACTTCACAATCGGGCGGCAGTGTCTCCGTTTCAGGGTTCTCAGAAGAGAGGGATCGATCGAACTCTTTCTTTCGTTGGCACCTCTCGGTGTGGGTTTGGTACACCGTGAAAGATACATTATTATCTCAAGGTCAAGTGCGCACAACGTTGTACTGCGAGTATATATAGCGCCACGTGCCACGCGCGCGAGGCGGCGCATTTCTCATTTTTTCACCGGACATGGTAGAGACTTTAGGCTACTTAGGACACTTAGCGGTTTATCACATTAGGAGCCATACTGTACCTACGAGCGCAGCGTATACATATAATTGTAGCGTATATGAAGTAGTGTTAATATCGGGTCTAGCCGTTAAGATTTCTCTAGCTTCTTAGGGACGAATAAGCTCATTGTGAACAACAATCAGATCTGACCCGGGTGCCCCGCGGTCGCGAATCACGTGTGTATACAATCCCGATCAAGTCCCCGATCAAGTCAATCCCGCGTCTTCAGGCGTCACGACGCGTCACTACCGTGATAACTCGAGGCCTCGCGTCGACGGAGCGTGCGACCGTCAATGAGAAAACGCAAGAAAAACCAAGTTCGTCTCAATAATCTACTCTGTGTACCAATTTTCTTCCTTTCTAAAAATTAAGACAAATTACTCTCTTAAAATTAAATTTTCTAGATTTTGTAGTGACATTTTTCACGAATTCAAACGGCGAGTTAGATATCGTATCTGATTCTTTAATTCGATAATTCGAAACTGCACGAAATTCTGTACGGAAGAATTTTGTATTCCGAGAACCATTCGAAGCCCCGGAATATTAATTGAAATTTTTCGAATTTTGATGAAATCGTTCGTAGCGCCGAATTAACTTTACAACACGTAGAACCGTGTTGTCAACCGGAATATCAATTGTTTGCCGTCCGCAATATCGCGGTCAGCGGAAGAATAAATGTTTATTTTTCTTCAGAGCGTTGTTAGAACGCCGGATAATCACACATCGGGAAAATAATGATTCCGTGTCTGCAATTTTTTTTTAATTATCCTACCTGATGCATTGCCCAGACGAGCGCGGATATTTCAATCAAAGTATTATATTTTTGCTCCTATATATTTCTGTTTGCTCTCATGATCCTCCTCCCCCCTCCCCCCTCCTCCCACCGACGTACGCGAAGCCACGGAATGCATGCAATAATCAGATTAAGCAAAGCTGATGGCAAAGAGAGGAGCGGAACGAAACGGGCGATATTAAAGAATGAAAATGGTTATTCGAACATTGATACGCGCGCGCCCTTCGCTTCCTAACTTTCCCTCGCGGTTTACATTCGAAAACGAGCGTCGTTTTAGAAACGACTTCTAAACTCCGTGAGTTATATCTTATTATCTCCAAAGGAAAAATGCAGTTTTATATCGACATTATCATTGCAGAGAGGAAAATATCTTTAATAACGAATGAAGCGAAATTATTTAGAGCATCGATCGCCAATTGATCCCCGCGAGAAAGAAAACTTCACGAATTTTACATAATGTTGCGTCGACGCGTAAAAGATTTTCACCGATTAAAAAAAAAAAACGACTGAATTTCGAGAACGGAAGACGCGACGAGAACGTAGCCGAGCAAACGCTCGAATATTCTATTATTTTCGATTTGCCTGGCGCAAACAACGTCGAGGGATTCAATAATTATCAGAGCATCCCCAAACATCGTTACTAACCCCGGCCGCCTCCGCTCTCTCGACTCACTCTCTCCCTCTCTCTCTCTCTCTCTTTCTCTCTCCTTCTCTCTCTCTCTCTCTCTTCCTCTCTCTTTCGTTCTCCCTATCCTCCCCCTGCCAAACATTATGCGCGGCATTTAATGAGATTGATGCAATCGTCCGATGCATTTAATCCTGCCAATTTACATTGCGCCCTAATATCGTGCGCGAACATTCCGCTAATGGAGTCGCTAATGAGAAACAGAAACATTCTCCTCGCCTCTGGTTGCTGTTTTCGATAGATTAGACAACCGCCAGCAGAAAATTGCAAACCGATCGTCCCTCCTGCGAGAGAAAAATTCGCACTTTATTTAAGCACGTTGTTCGCTTGATTTTTCGTCCTATTACAGAGAGAATTATGGAAACTATAAAATATTTGCTACAGGCGAGATGCAAGTGGAGATGTCGCGTAATATAATAAATCGAAATCAAATTTTCCTTTCTTTCGGAGAAGAAATCGTTAAGTTACCATTTATAAAAAGTGTTCTCCCGTTCTTTTTGTTCGCCTTCTGTCCCAATCGCCGTCAGGCTCGAGTACGCAAAATTTTGAAAAAAAAGCTCCATTTTCGTTGAGAAAACGTC